TACGAAAATCAATAAACGTAATAAACCACATTAACAGAAGCAAAGACAAAAACCACTTGATCATCTCAATAGATGCAGAAAAAGCCTTTGATAAGATCCAACAACATTTCATGATAAAAGCTCTAAGAAAACTAGGAATAGAAGGAAAGTACCTCAACATTATAAAAGCTATATATGACAAACCTACAGCCAGCATTATACTTAATGGAGAAAAACTGAAACCATTCCCTCTAAAATCAGGAACCAGACAAGGATGCCCACTATCTCCACTCCTATTCAACATAGTACTGGAATTCCTAGCCAGAGCAATTAGGCAAGAAGAAGGAATAAAAGGAATACAAATAGGTAAAGAAACTGTCAAAATATCCCTATTTGCAGACGACATGATCCTATACCTTAAAGACCCAAAAAACTCTACTCAGAAGCTTCTAGACTTCATCAATAGCTATAGCAAGGTAGCAGGATATAAAATCAACATAGAAAAATCATTAGCATTTCTATACACTAACAATGAGCAAACTGAAAAAGAATGTATGAAAACAATTCCATTTACAATAGCCTCAAAAAAAATCAAATACCTAGGTGTAAACCTAACAAAAGATGTGAAAGACCTCTACAAGGAAAACTATACACTTCTGAAGAAAGAGATTGAGGAAGACTATAGAAAGTGGAGAGATCTCCCATGCTCATGGATTGGTAGAATCAACATAGTAAAAATGTCTATACTCCCAAAAGTAATCTACATGTTTAATGCAATTCCCATCAAAATTCCAATGACATTCATTAAAGAGATTGAAAATCTACCGTTAAATTTATATGGAAACACAAGAGGCCACGAACAGCCAAGGCAATACTCAGTCAAAAGAACAATGCAGGAGGTATCACATACCTGACTTCAAACTATATTACAAAGCAATAACAATAAAAACAGCATGGTACTGGCACAAAAACAGACATGAAGACCAGTGGAACAGAATAGAGGACCCAGATATGAAGCCACACAACTAAACAACTTGTCTTTGACAAAGGAGCTAAAAATATACGATGGAGAAAATAGCAGCCTCTTCAACAAAAACTGCTGGGAAAACTGGTTAGCAGTCTGCAAAAAACTGAAAACTAGATCCATGTATATCACCCTATACCAAGATTAACTCAAAATGGATCAAGGATCTTAATATCAGACCACAAACTCTAAAGTTGATACAGGAAAGAGTAGGAAATACTCTGGAGTTAGTAGTATAGGTAAGAACTTTCTCAATAAACCCCAGCAGCACAGCAACTAAGAGATAGCATAGATAAATGGGACCTTCATAAAAAAACAAGCTTCTGTTTCATCAAAAGAAATGTCTCTAAACTGAAGAGAACACCCACAGAGGGGAGAAAATATTTGCCAGCTATACATCAGACAAAGGACTGATAACCAGAATATATAGGGAACTTAAAAAACTAAATTCTCCCAAAAACTAATGAACCAATAAAGAAATGGAGTGAACTAAACAAACTTTTCTCAAAAGAAGAAATTCAAATGGCCAAAAACACCATGAAAAAATGCTCACGATCCCTACAATAAAGGAAAGGCAAATTTAAAACCACGCTAAGATCACCTCACCCCTGTTAGAATAGCCATCATAGCAACACCACCAAACAGGTGTTGGCGAGGATGGGGGAAAAAGGAACCCTCATACACTGTTGGTGGGAATGTAAACTAGTACAACCACTCTGGAAAAAAATTTGGAGGCTACTTAAAAAGCTAGATATTGATCTACCATTTGATCCAGCAATACCACTCTTGGGGATATTCCAAAAAGACTGTGACACAGGTTACTCCAGAGGCACCTGCACACCCATGTTTATTGCGGCACTATTCACAATAGCCAATTCATGGAAACAGCCAAGATGCCCCACCACTGACGAATGGATTAAGAAAATGTGGTAACTATACATAATGAAATTTTATGCAGCCATGAAGAAGAACGAAATGTTATCATTCGCTGGTAAATGGATGGAATTGCAGAACATCATTCTGAGTGAGGCAGCCTGGCCCAAAAGACCAAAAACCGTATGTTCTCCCTCATATGTGGACATTAGATCAAGGGCAAAAACAACAATGGGATTGGACTTTGAGCACATGGTAAAAGCGAGAGCCCACAAGGGAGAGGTGAGGATAGGTAAGACACCGAAAAATCTAGCTAGCGTTTGTTGCCCTTAATGCAGAGAAACTAAAGCAGATACCTTAAAAGCAACTGAGGCCAATAGGAAAAGGGGACCAGGAACTAGAGAAAAGGTTAGATCAAAGGGGGTGGGGGCAGTGGGGAGAAATGAATCAAGCCTTGTATGCACATATGCATAATAAAAGAAAAAGAAAAAAAAAAAAAGAATTAACCTAGAAGGTAACACACACGCACAGGAAATCAATGTGAGTCAATGCCCTGTACAGCTATCCCTATCTCAACCAGCAAAAACCCTTGTTCCTTCCTATTATAGCTTATACTCTCTCTACAACAAAATTAGAAATAAGGGCAAAATAGTTTCTGCTGAGTATTGAGGGCGTGGGGGGGAGAGGGAGGGGGTGGAGTGGGTGGCAAGGGAGGGGGTGGGAGCAGGGGGGAGAAATGACCCAAGCCTTGTATGCACATATGAATAATAAAAGAAAAAAAAAAGATTTTCATATAAAGTGAACTCCTTCCTAAATAGGTAGGGATCACACACTTCATGATAATAAAACTATACTCTCTGGGATTCTTTTATACATACTTCTTTGCAAGAATTAACAAAATTTCTAGTACTTCCCCAACAAAATAGGCCCTTATCTGTTACTTTTAGCTAAACAATCCTAAGCATAAAAGTTCAAAGTCTATACAAAAAGATAGAACCCAACCAAGGTTTACTACATTGACTAGTGTTATCACTTTGAAGATTTTAAACTTAAGTAAATCCTTTATTTACTTATATGCAGTGTCACTGTTGAACCCAGGACTTCACACACACTGGGTAAGTACTATTCTACCACCTACGTATATCCTGGCCCAATGCTGTATTTCATTATATTCTATTTATTTGAAAATTGTTCATCAGGCTTGATATACCAAGTGACTATGAAAGAATTAATACCTTAAAATCACTGACAGAAATCAGCAACTGGTCAAGGAGCTATGATTAAATTTTTATCATAGTAAAAAACAAAATTAGGGTTTTGCTGTGTTGCCCAGGCTGGCATTAAACCCGTGGTCCTTTTGCCTTAGCTGTCCAGGTACTAGGAAAGTGTGCACCACCATGCCTGGCTTAGTTAAAAAAAAAAAAAAAAAAAAAAAAAAGTTAAGAAATGGTCTCTAAATTGAAGTGGCCATTCACAGAATACATGCCAGCTATACATCAGACAAAGAGACTGATAACCAGAATATACAGGGAGCTCAAAAAACTAAACTCCACAAAATCAATGATCTAATGAAGAAATGGGCAAATGAAATGAATAGAGCCTTTTCAAAGGAAGAAGTCCAAATAGCTAAGAACACATGAAAAAATGCTCACCATTCCTGGCCATAAAAGAAATGCATATCAAAAGTACCTTAAGATTCTACCTTACACCTGTTAGAATAGCTACCATCAAGAACAGAAACAACAACAAATGTTGGCAAGGATGCAGGGGGAAAGGAACCCTGATACACTGGTGGTATAAATCTAAGCTAATACAACCACTATGGAAGATAGTTTGGAGACTCCTTAAAAAACTAAAACCAGACCTGCCATATGATCCAGCAATACCAGTTCTAGGGATATACCTGAAGGATTGTGAGTCAGCTTACAACAAAGGCACCTGTATACCAATGATTATTGCAGCACTGTTCACAATAGCTAAGCTATGGAAATAGCCAAGATGCCCCACTACTGATGAATGGATTAAGAAAATCTGGTATTGATACACAATGGAATTTTACTCAGCCACAAAGAATGAAATTTTGTCATTCACAGGTAAATGGATGAAACTAGACAAAATCATCTTAAGTGAAGACAGCCAGGCTCAGAAGGCCAAAACTACACGTTCTCTCTCATATGTGGAATATAGGCCTAAAACAAATACAGCAATATGATGAAAACCTGGCCACACTAAGCAGAGATCACAGCATGGGGAAACTAAGAACTTGAAAATGGCTGATATATTCTCTATACAAGAATGAATATAGAAATCTTAACCAACTTAAACTACCATAAGAAAGGGACTAAGGTAGAATGAAGAAAATTTGAGAATATAAACCAGTTGGGATTATAATACATATATACATGGAAATATCACAAGAAACCTCCCTGTGTAGCTACCTTTGTCTCAAATAAGCTAAAATGTCATGTTTTTCATTTTATCTTTTCTCGTTTTTCTTCTTCAAAATCAGAGAACAGGACAGCGGAACAAGTCCTGCCTGGGGGGGAGGGCTAGCACCAGTGGGAGTAGGGGAGGTTATGGGGAAAGGGGGTAGAGGAGGGTGAATATGGTACAAAAAAATGTGTATACATGTAAGTAAATGCAAAAATGATACTTGTTGAAACTGTTCCAGCAATGGGGGGGGGGGAAGAGAAGAGGAGAAAGGAAAACAGTAGAGGGGTTGAATTCATGTATCATATATTTATATATTTGATATATTGTAAGAACTTGTGTAAGTGCCACAATGTACTCTCACCCAACACAACAATAAAGAAAAAACAATCAGCCTCTTAACATTTAAATAGTTTACTATCAAGCTTTTCTTTTTCTCACTTTATATTAAATATACAAATGGAATTTAGTATTTAAAATTTGTGTTTTATTCATTTTGAAAACCAAACAAAATCCTTAGGTTAAAAACAATAAAATTTTATAAATAAACATTTTATATTAAAATATGCTACACACTGACTTTAAAGTTGTTTTTAAAAGTTATAGGTAATAAGAACTAGGATACAAAAATGCCAACTCTCTTTAGAGTTCAAATCAGCAAGCAAAAAATTTTATAACATTCAAAACATCTTACCTGTAAACAGTCTCTATGAAACCAAGCATTCTTACAACAAGGACTTCGCAATATGCTGTAACTGGGAATAGGCTCAATAAATTCCAAACAAATGGTGCATGGTAGGGAGTCTCGATAATTATTAGATGTAATTATTTGAACAGGTCGATGTTTCCAACAAAATGACCTAAACGTAAATTATTTAAGAATAGTATTTAATGGAATGCAAAACACAAGAGGCTAACATTGTAATTTACATATGTAAGACAAAATTCACTTAAATCTGTCTCATCATTAACCGAAAATAAGTCTTGGCATTATTAGCCTCATAATCTATGAGGAGCTTCAAAATATAAACGTTTTGGTGGTGAGATTACCTCATATAGAATTTTAGTAACATACTGGCAATATTGTTAGCAATGGGACATATAATACTCTTATACTCAAGAACTGAGTACATATTATTGTACTTGACATTATATAAAACTAAAGAACTTAACCATAAAATAGAAAGCAAATAACAATCTAGTCCTAATCTGTCTTACTTCCATTTGTATTTTATAAACTACAGTTTTCTTATATGATAACAATTCATTATATAGGCCAAAATATGAAGACAAAGAAATGGAACACTCATTGAAGCCAAGTGTAAAAATTCATAAAATCTTAATGCTTGAAAGTTGTACTCAGGAAGCATGTATTTTCAGGGGCAGCCCAGGCCATAATGTTTAGTTTTTGGACTCAACCAAATTTACAGGCTTCCAACTTACACACTAAAAAACACACATGATCTGGTGAAAGAAAAGTGGAATATTAATTCTAAATGGTGACATAAAAATCTAGAATTATGTAAGATGGAAATTTTCACTAAATATGATTAAAGTTCAATGTTATATCCTATAGGTAAAAACTGAAGGAAAATATTAATCATTAGACCCATTCTAGACATTGCAATTCTTAAAGACTTAGATAGAGATAGCAATAATTCTATATGTGGATATATATATCAATATATATACATCTTATATATTTCTTCCATATATCCTAATCTATTATATATGTAAACATATATATAGAAACCCATACAGCTTTAAAAATTAACTTTTCAAAGGAATTATATTTTGGGGATATCCATTTTCTACTGTTCCATAACATTCATATTTAACGGTTAAATAACTCACGCAAAATTCCCAGTAAACTGGAAAATACATTCTCTCTGAAGTCCACATGGAAAATGATAACTTCGTTTACATCGAGGTGCAACGCATCCAATTGAAGCACCATTTTTCTTGCAAACACAACATTTCTAAGAAGAAATATGAAAATAGGGCCACAACACAGAATTTGAGTGCTATAATATGATTGAGGTTATTAATGAATATTCCTTGTAGGGAGGCTGAAAATTATTTTCATCATTAACAGCAGTGGTCACAGTGTATTGAAGAAAATTCCTGAAAAAACTGTTCTACCCAGAAACAATCTAGACACACCAAAAATTCACCACTACAAGGAAAAAGCCCTTTTCTTTCCCACGTGCTGAAATACTTTAATATGAAGGGTTTATAAACAAAAAAATCTACAAAAGTTAGGAAATACCAAACAGGAAAACAATACTAAAACCACTTTGGAAAATACTGGCTAAGATTACTCTAACCTAACCAAAATTAAAAAGCATTAGACATCTATAACAGGTTGAATAGTGATCTCCAAAAGGATATTCAATTCCTAACTCCCAGTACCTGTGAATTGTAGAAATAGTGTCTATGCAGATGCGTAAGAATCTCAAATTGAGATTGTCCTGGATATAGGGTGTCCTATATGCCCTATGATTGGTGTCATTAAGAGAAAAGAAAGACATATTTAAAACAGACAGACAGAAAAAAAGCCCGTATGAGGATGTAAGCAGAGATTAGGGTTACATGGCCAAAAATCAAAGAACACCAAAGGATGCCAACAGTTATCAGAAGATAGAAGAGAAGCATAGAATGAATTCTCCCTCAGAGTCTCTAGAAGGGTTCAACCTTTCTGACACCTTGTTTTAGAACTCTGGCTTACAGAATTAAAAGAGAATACATTTCTGTAACTTGTTATGGCAATCCTAAGAGATAATTACTATACCACTGTCACTACTCATAATGTACCAACACTGATACGTAAATAGAAAGACAATAATTAGAAAAACACAGAGCTCAATGTGAAACATCTTGGTACCCTTTAAAATGGTCTTTATAATGGTCACTGATTCAGGGATTATAGCCTTACTGTTAACTACTCAAGTATCATCCAAGTCTTAAGAAGAATCCTTGGCCAAACTTAGACTTTCCCAGTGAACTGACCCAAGGAATTCTAGTTTATGGTAAAGAAAATGGGCACAACTCTTCAGGATCAAGACATTGTTAAAAGTTCACAACATACTTGGTGAGGATTCAGATGTTTTAAAAAACAGGTAGCTCTAAACCATAAGGGTACTCTCATCAATCTTCACCACAAGCTTACTATTATCAGGAAATTAAGGAACTGTGATACCAATATCTTCACTTGGTCTTTAATTTCATGCAAACCTTTCACCTAAGGTTCTTCCTTGAGCTATAAATCTTCTATTTTACCATCAATTCTTAAAAATGACTCCTCTAACTTCTATGCCTTAAATAAAATAAATGTTTCTATCTGCTTCCCTGTAGACCTCGAATGAAGCTGTTTATTTGCCCATCCTCCTTAATTTTCAGACTTGGCATAGGGTGAAGGTAAAACATACACTAGGGAAGAAAGGAAAACAAGCAGAACATTACTTAAGTTCTGCTAGAGGTTTTAGGCCACTATTCTAATCTTCATACTTAAAAAAAAATCCAGTCATGTCCCTAATGACATCTAACTTTTTACCTAGTAACCTTTTAGTCACTCCTCTACCTCAAGACTTTAGCACCTAGATCACAGTGTGCTTTCTTTGTATGTTAACTTTTGCTATCACTCTAAATAACTTTAGAATTGATAGGACAAGCTTTCTTTGACTTCCTTAACTATAATGTGTCAATGCTCTTCGTCTTCTACTTCAATGTAATGAATCCCCGCAGCACCCAAGCTGCTCCACTTATAGAAATCAATTTCAGTATCGCATTCTCTGAACACAACTCCCAATACTTTCAATCTTCTTCTCCAACTCTCATTTCTACTGGAACCATGTAGAAACCTACAGTCTTTTCCTTGCATATAGCAAAGTGGCAATTGTATAGAAGATTCACAAAAATTGAATGAACAAGGAATTAAAGTTTAGAATATACATAGAAGGGTCACAGAGTTAGGGAGATAAAAAGTTACCAGTCTGTACAGTTGCGCAATTTCTACCTCAACCCACCATCTCAATCTCAGCAACTAAGGGAGAAGAATTAAAAAGCAGGGCTAGGAGCATAGCTCAAGTGTTAGAGCACCTGCCTAGCAAGCACAAGGTCCTCAGTTCAAACCTGTTACTACCCCTCCCCCCCACAAAATAATCCAAAAGTAAATGGTTGGGCTGATTCAGAATCGGAAGTTTGCAGATCAGTAGAGTGGAACTCTGGTCACAATTCTGATGAAAGCGTGAGTAACATGATGGAAAAGTTGAATATGATAAGGAAGTGAAGTCTATATTGTAATGTGTATTAACCAGAGTTAGTTAATCTCTCACTTGCAAAAACACAAAATGTTTTACTAAAATCTAACACCACATTTGATCAAATTATGGGATCATAAATTGAAGTCACAAATTTCTAGTACAGAAACTGACAGAAAAGACTTCTCTCAAGTATTGATAATATTTATGATATTCAATCTCATGAATAAAAATTTTTCTTACCAGTTTAGAAGCTCTATTCACTTCCTTCCTGATGTCTTCTATTAGAAAACCATACACTCCTTCTTCTTCTTTACCTCTCTGCCAAATTCCACTTGACATCAACTGTGAATATATTCTTAATTAAAAATTAATTCTAAGAAACTAATGTGGAAATACATATCTTCTACATTCACGCTAATAAAAAAAGACATAAAATGACTCAAATTTCAAGCACATAATTGTTTTTGATGACAAAAGTTAAGAGACTACTCACACACTTTGTATACCCAAACTGGATTCCAAAAGCATCAGAAAAAAAGAAAAAGAAGTAGGTAGTTGGGTGGGAAGGAGAGGAAGGAAGAAGAGGAAGTAGAGGAAGGAAGGGAGGAGGGAAGGAAGGAACAGCACCTAAAAGTAAGCATTAGGAAAAAAGGAGTGGTAAATACAAAAAGTTGTAAATGTAATAACAATAAACACCATGGAGATAATTCAGATTATCAGTGATATTTCAGGCTAACATTAAATTTATCTGAATTCTGAATTATAAATGGGAAATCATAGTTAACAAATCTCACTTTAACTTCATAGTTTAAAAATATGTTAAGGAGACATCAATCAAGTTGGACTATGAATAAGAAAAACTGGCTTGCAAACCAGGCTCTATGCCTAAACTTCTGGAACCCTAAGCAAGTAATTTAATGTTGCTGACCTTAAATATAAAAATAATATTGTAACAGATTGCCACTACTCACCATATGGAGTGCTACAGTCCTTTCCTGGGACATAGCATAGTGGAGACCATATAGAAGATTCACAATAATAAATGAGCAAGGGAAGCACCCGACCATTACTCTTTTAGCTATAGCATTCTAATACCACTTGAATTATTCTAATACTTGAATCATCACAATAATTCCTTGTACCTAACAAAATATTCCTTTTGTACCTTCCTGGGACTGGGTTGGATTGAACCCAGGGCTTTGCCTTTGCAAACAGACATTTTATTGCTTGAGCCACTCCTCCAGTCCATTTAGCTCTGGTTATTTTGGAAATGGGGTCTCATAAACTATTGCCCAGGCTGGCTTCAAACTGTTATCCTCCCAATCTGTTTCCCAAGTAGTTGAGATTACAGGTGTGACCACTTGTACCTGGCCAAAATAGACTTAAATGGGTCAAACACGGGGTCAATAGTTTATTTTTGAAGTATTATGCTCATAAAAGTATTATACTCAAACAAATGAGCATTTGGTGTGCTCAACAAATATGCTAAGTAAAAAATACTTCAACAGAGCAAATCTATGATCAGAGAAATTTGTTATAATCAGTATGTCCTAAAATACAGGTGACATTACCTTAAAAATGAAATATGAAAATTATCCTACCAATGAAACAGCTCTAACTCTACTGCATAAAATACACTCTTAGAAAAGTGAACATATTTTCTTTTGTACTGCAAAATATAAGACTTCAACTTAAAATGCCAAACTTCATGTTCCCATAAGGCATGGTACAAACTGATTTTAGTTCCTAGATGAGTCTATAAGTATATTTAATCCATAGAGTACCTGTGGGTCACTTCATTTTTGGAGAACGAACAAGGAATATTTAAGACAGATCCTTGAGAATATGAAAGAATTTTAACATGGATGATGGTGGGTTTAAAAATGCATTCAACAAATTTACTGATACTCCTTCCGTTAAGAGGTGGAGTTTAATTCCCTCCCCTTGAGTGTAGGTTACACTTGACAATATTTGTGGTGTGTGACTGTGAAGACTAGGTAATGATTCTTCAAGTGTCTCTGTCTCTCTCTCTCTGTCTCTCTCTTCAGTTGCTTTGGGGGAAGCCACATGACACATTGTGAGAGGGACACGCCTCTTGCTAACAACTAGGAGGAAGGAATTGTGGCCAAAAGCATGTTAGTCAGTTACTGGAGGTAGATCCTCCAGGTCTATAAAGCCTTCTAATAAGATCTAGCTGACTATTTATTTATTTTGCAGTACTGGAGTTTTAAATTCAGGGCTTGCATTTGCTAGGCAGGCTCTCTACCACTTCAGCCAGCTCTTGACCCTTTTTGCTTTAGTTATATTTCAAATAGGGTTACATATTTTTGCCCAGGCTGTCCTGGACCACACTTATGCCTTACACATAGCTGGGAGCACAGGCTTATACTACTACCACACCTGGCTTATTGGTTGAGATGGGGGCTTGCTAACTTTTTGTCTGGGCTGGCCTAAAACCATGATCCTCCTGATCTCTGCCTCCCAAGTAGCTGGTATTACAGGAGTGGGCCACAGCACCCAGCCTGGCTAACATCTTGATTGTAATCTCAGATTGTAAGACTCTGAGTCAGATCTATTCAGCTCAGTTGATACCAGATTCCTGAACTTTGAACCTTCAACAAGTCTTTTCATGATTTATCACTAGCAATGTGAAAAATGAGAAAGTAGTGAAAAAATGAAAAAGAGCACTTTCGTGTATAGATCCAACCAATTTTCTTTTTCAGTCAGACAAAAATAAATAGGCACAGGTCATAAGTCTTTCATATGTATCACACAGGTTCAAAAACTTGGAAAAAATATTTTTATGGATAAGTTAAATGATTTTTCCAATTCTCAGAAATTAGTGTCAGCATCTAATTTCTCTTCTTTAGAATACCAAATTTTGGACTGGTGGAGTGGCTGAAGTGGAGAGCATCTCCCTAGACAGAGTGAGGTCCTGAGTTCAAACCCCATCACCACCAAAGAACAAAAACAAAAACCCACAAAAAAACCAAAATTTCTAGAATTATAAATCATACTCACCAAGCAATAGTAATGTACAGTGAGATTCCATTTCTCATTAGTTTTCTTTTCTCCATATTTATTAGGACAGTCATCATTTTTTCGACAGAAAACACAAGCTAACATGGAAAGCAAAATAGATATATAAAATATTTAAATTTTTAAAATATGGAATTGGTAATTGATATGTTAAATTCTGAGAAAGCAAATAGCATTACAGTTTCCTTAGTAATTAAAATTTCCAATACCTATTTCTAAAAACATTAATATGACTTTAATTTTGTTGTGAATTCCAGTGATTAAAATGGCAACTTGAGGGGTAACATCAATAAAAAATGATGGATTAGGGAAATCCAATATTCTGTTCTTCTAGTTAAACAATGATGAAGCTTACAAAAAATGTCAGAATCAATTTTTTAGAAGCTCTTGAATGTAATAAACTTCCCCAAATTAGAATTCTTTTTATGAAGAAATAAGCTACCATTCATAACTTCCCAGCTGGCAGAGGACAATGGCTTAGGGTGCCCATGTCCTGTATGGACTGCTGGTCCAAGAGGAAATAATATGGACCTTTTTCCCAAGGGAACAAGATTACGTGTTCTGAGCTATGTGGCAGCTCTCTGAGGGATGGGCTATGATGCTTGCTTTTGTTTTGCCAGCTTCAGAACTTTCTCAGGGCTAAAACAAACATTCTAGCTGCAACAGTTTAGGGTGAAAGATAACAGGCAACAAGCAGCTGACAGATCAAAAAAAGGCATGGACAGAAGAGGTTGAAAAAAGTAGATATGTAGGGCAATAAAGGTTTTGAAAGCCTCCCATAAATCTAGGAGAGTGTAGAGGGACATGTGCATGACCCATGGATGTATGCATGTCAGAAAAGGACCTGGAAAAGCCTTAAACTTTACCTCTAGCTGGTCTTTAAGCTCAAGAAAACCTATATTCAAAACCTCAAATCAACCCAGGGCTCTGGATGCAGAAGGAACTATGTTTGGCATGCATTTTTATAAGCAGACCACTTTGTATAATTATTTGTACTTAGCTGTTTTTTAATACTTAAATGTTTTAAAATTCAGTAAAATTGTTTAGGTTCATTATATTTATTGTTAAGATTACTTTCCACTATAGCAAATGATACTGTTTCTATAATAATATGAAAGAAACTCTTCTCCTTAAATTACATTCATATAAGTAAAAACGGAGATACTCTTGGGCAAAATCAAGTAAGAATAGGGCTGCATGTGCATTTGGCAAATACATATATTTTAAAATTCAGATATAAGTCTGGGGTAGAGCCGGGGTGCCGGTGGTCATGCCTGCCAATCTGGCTTCTCAAGAGGGCATAGAGAGGAAGATCACAGTTCGAAGCCAGCCCAGGCAAATAGTTCTGTGAGACCCTATCTTGAAAAAAAACCTTGTACAAAAAAGGGCTGGTGGAGTGGTTCAAGGTGTGGGCCCTGAGTTCAAGTACCATATGCTGCAAAAAAAAAAAAAAAAAGTTTGGAAGTTGAAACAAGGAAAGAAAGTAGAGGGAGTTTTAAGAGTAAATTTTCTCATCCAAAATAAGGCAGAGTAAACAGGTACTTTATACAAGTGATGGTCAACTTAGAATTTGAAATATAATATTTAGAGGTAATTAAAAAACCTGAAAAAACGAGATGAGAGTAGATTAGCAAGTAGCAGAAACATAAAGTAAACAATTTAGATTCCCATCTTTCTAGTTAGCAAGTCAAATAGCTACTGTTTATAATAAATGAAGAGAACAAAACTAAACACAAAGTTAAAAAGGCTGCATTTATTGGTGAGATTTTTGTGAACTTGGAAGTAAATTTCACTTTAAAACTTTTTTTGGTATTATTCAAATTGGTGTCACCTGCATTTTCCCTTTGTAAGGGCAAGCCATAAAATTTAAATCTTCATATAGTACTGCTTCATTCAGATACATACCACCATTTAAATAAAAACATATACAGATACAAATAAAAATCTGTCAATAGTTCCTGGCAGATTGTTTGTGGAAATGAACTATGCAAATTTTAGATTGTTCATTACTGCTACTTTACCAAGGTTCTGTTGAGTCAGGGTTTATTTCATTCATTTTACTAGGAAAAATAAAAAATATGAAATACTACCTTAATTTCAAGTCTCAAATTAACCATTTGTTAAATTTATAGTCAAGTACAGGAATTTCAAATAAGTTATGCAATCATTCATACTTTAGTAAGTTCTTAATTTCTTCACATTGCATACATAAAAGACCAGTAGCTCTCAGTCAGGGTGGCAGAGTTTGAAGACTGGTTTTTTAAATCGGAGGATATTTTTTAAACACTTAAAATGACTATTAATATTTAGTGGAAAGATGCTAGAATTTCAGGATACCCTGCAATCCATAAAAAGTTTTACAACAACAAAAGAACTGTCTAGAGTTTCAAATTCTAGCTAGACATGTCAGAAGGGTTAAAAACAAGCAACAAAAACCCTACTTATTAACCTAGTAACCTAAACACATGATATACATAATCAAGATTTCCTGTTTTTGTGTATATTAGAAATGAGTATTCTACAAGTATAACTCCTACTAAATCAAAGAAACTTTGTATTTAATTTCTGTTTCAAAATTTATCAAAATCTGTTCACCATATAGGGAGCGGGGGATAACCCCAACCCACATCAGTAACTATGTCATGCATATTTGAGTAGACTGTAAAATAATCCTTTATCAGTTTACACTTCTAGCTGGTACACTGAGGAATTCTACACAGAACTGCAAGCCTCTGTCTCATTATATTTTTGTAGTTCAGTAGTGCTCAACCACTTACAGACTGAATGAAAGACCTTGCTCTGTCCCTGTCTCCTCATACCAGCGAAGCCAATAAAACTACTTACAATCATTTACTGTAATACAACATTTCTCTCTAAAAGATCAAAGGACAAAGAAGGTATCTTATAACATCAAAATTCACATTACCAAAGGTATATGAATAGCTTACTTGAGTAGTGTTATTGAAAGTCAAGTATAAATAAAGTAATACTCAAACTTTTGGAATTTAAGTGGAAAAGAATAAACATAGTAATGTTACTAGGTAAATGCAATCTTTTATAGTTGCAAAACCAATCTTATAGCAACACTGTCATGGTGGGTTCATGCCTGTAATCCCAGCATTCAGGATGCTTAGGCAAGAGTGGAGAGATTTGAGGCCATTTAAAGAAGTGGATTATCAATGACATTACATTTCAAGAGGCCTACAGGCAAGATATTTTCAGTGATTAGTAGCCCACAACATCCTGTGAAAACCTAGGATTCTTCCAGATACGAAAAAACACATTTTAAAAGTCTTCTTAAGTATTTTTAATGGTTTCGGAGTATCTGTAGGAAGTTACAGTTGTAGATTTGATATACGGGTCCACCATTAAATCCACACATTTTATATCAAAATTTATTGCTAAGCAAAGTCAAGTTACTTGATCTTTGGTCTTGTCAAAGTGTTCCTCAAAGATGGTTTGAGATGTTTGTTGTCCATTTTCACAGCACTCAATCTCAACCTTCATTACAGGAATACACAAGCCCGTCAGCCAAGACATGCACATAAGGGAAAATCTTGACGTCAGGGCAGATGGAGGGGCTTCAGAATGGTAAATGGAAGCTCTATATCTTTCCTGCTGTGTTTCCACTTGATTCTCAATAATGAAGACTTCAGTGCGAGAGCATGTACATGCAGATGGTGTTCCTCCAATGTGCTGAAGTCCATGACCAAGTACCAAAGATAAGCATTAAGAGCTCTGAGGTTTCCTGTTCTGAAATTGTGCTTCACTGTTTGAACAATTAGGGTTTGTTTATAGTCATTCTCAGAGGTCAGCTGAGATTCTAGGTAATCTTCCTGGCCCTACAGAATTCCCAGTGAGTTTCATCTGAATATTGAATTTGTTGCAAATGTTGTAGCTCCTCAAACCAAAACTCATGATAAACCAACATTTTCCATCCCTTCACTGAGTGAACGTAGCACCTGTAGTCAAGCTACTGTGGGCAGAGGACATCAGAAGATTGTCCCTTGAGATTTTTTCCCAAATGATCTCGTACAAGACATTTTAAGAACAATGGTTAACAATGAAATCAAAATTTGTCACTGCACTGTAGAGTGCAAATACTTGCCACTCATAAAGTTATTCTATCTAATATTTGTGTCATTGTTTATACTACCTCAACATTATACAAGTGTTTGCGGAGAGGTCCACTAAAAATTTAAAAGATCATGCCTGCGTGTCCACTGAGAATGGCAAATTTCCTTCAGTTCTTTACCCTGTCATTATTCTGAAAAATAGAAATTACAATTTCTAGTTCAAGAAGCTGTTGTAGTGATCAATGGAAAAAAGAACAAACTTTCTCGATTGTTCCTAATGAAACTGACAGCCCCCACCACAGGGACTGATTTTTGCCATCACATGTTTAAGATTCAGGAAATCATAGTTGTAGACAGTTTGGGATAGTTCTGTAAAATCTAGAAGCAACTTCTTCAATTTGGAGAAAATCCACTGGACACAATGTAAGCCTGTCCATGACAATACTCTGTTATTTATCCCCACTTCTCATAGTGTAAAATTTCACAGCCAAAACTTCTGCCATTGGCTTCATAAGGCAGGAAGCCCACAAATTCCACTCTCAGGTTATAAGATTCATCAGGCGAATTTTGCCAATATGGGTAGTGCTCTTCCCCAGCTATATCCACCCATGTCGTTGTGTAACAGATCACTTCCCAGCCAGTTTCTTCCTGAATGCAGTTCTCACATTCTCTACTGTCATTTCTGCTTCTGCTTTTTTTATTGCTGTAGTCTCAAAGTGTTCTTAGGACCTCTTCACCAGAAATTTATCTGGCACTCTAGCAATGCCTAAAATTATCAAGACTAAAGCAGACTGGAGGGTTGGCTTCAAGTGGTAGAAGCTCCAGCCTGGCAAGTAGAAAATCCTGAGTTTAAAACCCAGTACCACAAAAACAAAAAACAAAAAACAAAAAAAACCAAAACAAACCAACCAAACAAAAACCTTCTGGGATTTCATCAGCCTCAAGCCATCCAGAGGCATATAAGAATCAAATCTGTAAAAGATTTTAGATATTCTTTTGTTTTTCCTTCTCTCAAGAATTAAAGTAAACAGCTTCATCCTGCTGGTCACCCTATTCTGCATTGCTGTTGTCTGTTTCTTTATGGTTTGGTTATTGTTCAGAAGTTTCATCAAATTTTTTCTGCTCAGTGTCCTGATTTCATCTTTACTCAATTCTTTTATTCATTTCCTGTGTTTATTATGTGGATTGGTCAAATGACTAGTAAGATCAAATATTGTTGCTTTTAAAAAGTGAAACACTAAAAGCTGTTGAATAATAGGGTGTCGGAGGAAAAAGTGAGGGAGAGTAATAGAAGGGGTTAATCTGATAAAATACCTATATTCCAGGTGAAACACAATGGCAAAACTCTTTGAACAATGAACACGGGGGATTCCAAGATGGCGGCTAGAGGGAGGAAGCAGAGTGCGAGCCTCCTATAGTGAAATCTTGGAGAGACGCTGGAGACACACTTTGCAGGCATAATCACTGAGAAGAGGCATAACTTGGACCCCTCCACACCTCCAGCCACAGAGAATCTCCACTTCACATTAAAGGGAGAAATCAGGAGGACCCCTGGGCTGCCAGTCGCCAGTGCACAGACGGTTTGGGAAGATGCAGACCAGGTGAGCTTCGCAGTACCGCGGTACTCCCACAGACAAGCCTGTGCCACAGCAGCATAGCCCCCTGGACAGACTGACCTCCACCCGGGGAAAAAAGAGAAACTGAGTAATAAGCAATAAGAACAATAAGAAACGCGGAAAAGAGGGTTGGGGCGCCCTGAGCGCTGAAGATTGGGGAAGGGAATCCTTCCCAGGACTGTAAATAAACAAGCCCAGCAGGCGGAAGAAGCTCTGGTGGGAGCAGGGGAGGGGCGCCCAACAACCAGGAGCGGGAAACCTGGTGAGAGTGGCAGAGGGAGGAAAATTCCACAGGACAGGAGGGAAGACCCACTTCCCACGTGAACTGTAAACAAACATGGCAGCAGGCAGGAGCAGCAGCACCACCCAGTAAGCAGGAGCAGGAAAAGCTTTGAAAGTGGCGGTGGGAGGAAAACTCACAGGAAGGGGGGAAGACCCCACTTCCACATGAACTGTAAATAAACATGCAGGCCTGACAACGCGGGGCAGTGTCACCTTTCCCAGTGCTTGGAAAGGGGAAAGCCTTAGCAGAGGCTCACAGGAGAAATCTGAAACAAACAAAGCCTGTGGGCCAGGTGAGTGCTAGCTCACCCAGAGATCTGCATAAATAACCTCCAGCAACAGCAGGCTGACAGCAGCAGGCAGGCAAGCCACAGCTGAAGATACCATTCTCAGAACTGTCTCCAGACTCTTTTTTTCTTTTTCTCCCTACCTACGATGAGAGAACAACCGAATTACACCTGCATGCTGAAAAACTTACTGAAACTGTATTGCATTTGAACTTGGGACACCTGCTGGGTTTTGTGTGTGTGTGTGTGTGTGTGTGTGTGTGTGTGTGTGTGTGTAGTTTTGTTCTACTTTATGCGTCCCCTTTGATGAGACAACTACAGAACAACATCTGAGGCACCATCTCCAGGACTGGAGACTGAGACAGACAACCAAATTATTAAGACTGAAACTTCATTGCATTTGAAACTTGGAGGATTTTGGTTTTTTGTTGTTTTTATTTTTTTTAATTTTCTATTTTCCATTTTATTTTAATTCATTTTTACATATATTTCTTTCATTTATTATTTTTTTTTTTTTTATCTTTTTTTTTTATTTTGATTTTCAATCTCTCTGTCTCTCTAATGTCTGTTCAGCTTACTGTCGATTAGTACACTAACACTCCCTGTTTACCTTTGAAACTTCTTGTCTGAACTTGTTCTGTTTTCCTCTTGTCTGTGTATTTGTTTTTCCCTTTTCTTTAACTTCTTGCTTTCCATCTCAGCTCACCCTTCCATTCTAAATATTAACCATTGTTATTATTACAAGCTAGAAAATACTTAATTGCACACAGTACAGGGACAGTAACAACACCAAAGACAATGACG